AGTCATGGCATTGCTGTACTCAGTCCTTCACTTGGGTCCACTCACTAAACCACAACAGCTGTGCCGAGCGCCTTTGTCCCCCCTTTACAGATGGGAAAACTGAGGCAAAAGTCAAGAGGTGAATGCCTGGGTCTGGTTCCCCAAGGCTGGGTATGTTTCCAATGTGACTCACAGACAGAAAAGCACATGGAATCCAGACATGGTTCTTATTGCCTGAAACTAAGGCAGCAATTGGAGCTATGGGTCAAAGCTACAGGTGACATTATGCATGTGACTCCACAAGTTCTGGGGTCCCCAGGAACCCACAGACTGAGGCTTCAGAATATGTGTTCATCATTATCCCAGATCTGAGATTCTAGGATTCTATGATCAGGTGTGATATCCCACCCTCTAAAAAATTGTACGTTTAAACCAAAATGATAAAATTACAAACTTGTCCATCCCAATTGTGTAGGGCCCAGTTCTCTGGAAAAGGTATTTGGGGAAAAACTGCCATACCATGCGGGGTGGGTTTCTTGGCATCTGCAGATATTGCAGTAGGTCGGGTTGGGTGACCATCTCACCATCTAAATGCAGATGCTTCTGTGTATAAAAGAGGGCACTTTTAATGTTTATGCCTAGACGATAGGCATAAGCCAGGAGCGTCTCAGGCCATGGGGCCTCTGACTTCAGGGTCATAAATTTGGGTCAAACCGCGCCTTTCTGTGGAGAGTGAGGACTCCAGCATCACCGCCGGGAGCCCTGGCCATGCAGCTGCCTGCTGCCTAACCCAGCCCCCAGCACTGTGGCTGCTCCTTTCTCTGGTCTGTGCCTGGCCTTGAGCATCCCACAGCTCCAAGCATAGGGTCAACACCACGAGAGCAGGTACTTTGCTCTCCCCCAGTCCCCTCTAGTGTTCTACCCGCAGCTCCCAGCTGGCTCTCTGTAAAGTGTTTCTGACTCATGGGCAGATTCTCCCCACTGTTTACCAGATCAAAGCACAGTGACCTGAACGGCCTGTCCCCAGCGAAGGCCACTTGTCTCCACGCACCCACCTGTCGGCCAGGGCAAACATCATCCAGCAAGTTGGGACGGGCATGGGCTGAACTTTAACCATAAGGCTCAGGGTTTGGGTGAGTCTCCACAAAAAGCAGTGGGTATCCCCTACTCCGCAGTGGCTGTGACCACAGAGTGGGGACGGCCATCTGCTCTTGATCGGGGTCCACAGAACAGACCCAAGATGCTGGTGAGGAGCCATCGGCAAGCCTCCGGTCTCTCCCTCCTGGTCAAGCAGGTGTGGGGGCCTCTGCGGCCAGAGCGTCTATGTTCTCAGCACTCCCATGCACAGAGGAACAGGACTAACCCTTGTAAGTGAATCGTCAAGTTTCCCAGGGTGCGATTTGACATGTCAACTTGTGTGGGGCCTTTGGAGATGACAGATGGTCCCCAGCCAGACTTCCACTCCTCTGTTTGCATTTGGTGACCTTGGGCGTCCTTGGGTGAATCATTTAAGCTCAGTTTCACAAGGTGGGCAGGAGGGTGAGATGCACAGGACACATGGGTAGTAAGTGTCCTGCCAAGAGATCCATCAGATCCACAACCAGTCCTGGCAGGTCGAGCTACAATGGTCACAATTCCTCTGATGCCCCTTCAGCCGGGAACATTCCCAGGCCAGCATGTAACAAGTAGATCATTGGACCAGCTCACCAGGAGAATGCACCAGCTGTAGGCTAATGCCCTTTCTGGGTATCAGACTCCCCTCCATGAACTAAGGGGCTGCATCCAGGGCTGCTGAGTCCAGGGCTCCCAACTCAGACATGCCATACCTTCCTACTGGCAGCTGAAAGACCAGGGGCTTTGAATCCAGACCCCCAGATGTGGGTGCTAGTGCCACTGTCAGCAGGGGACTCATGCAGGTCACTTCACCTCTGTGAGGTTCTGTCTCCTCATTTATAAATGGGGTGGCATTGTCTCCTGGGACACAGGGACGGTATGATGTGTGCAGACTCAACCTGGTGGTCCACGCCAGCTCTGCCCAGGTCCCTGCCCCTGGGAACTCAGGGCTATGGAGTGGGGAGCAGAGCCATGGGGCGTGCTGGCGCCCTTGGTGGCTGCCCTGAGGCTCAGGGAGCCGAGTCATTTCGGTTCCACAACGAAAGGAAAATATTCCATCCACTAGGCAAGACTCAAGCTTCCTAACGAAATGTCCTCTCTGCTGGTGTTTACTCATCAGTATCCCACAGAATGATTCATTTGGGAAAAAAATTGGTGTGAGAGTGACTGAAAATCACTGGTAGTTCGATCTTGAGAGAAAAGCCATATGGTGACAAGATGTTCAGAAATCATTTTAGGGATCATTTTTGTTACACATTCTCTTGTCGTGTTTCAGCAGGTGCCAGGGCCACCTCTTAGCCATGAAGAAGGTCTGTTCCTAAATCTGTGACCCACAACATCACACTGCTAACTCGAAATCAGCCCTGGTGGGAGTATTTATACCAGGGTCATGAGCAGACACTAGAAATCCAAGGTTTCAATTCCCTAGGAGAGCCACTAATTACACATTTACCAGCAGGTTCTTAAACAATTTAATACGCATTTCTTGCTCACATGTCCCGGATTTGGCTCGTCCTGGCTGAGCTAGGCTCAGCTGGGTTCCCTGCTGCGGGACAGGGCCAGGCCTGCTCAACACATCATCTTCTGGTGACCAGCAGCTGCCTGCAGAAGTCCTTCTCATGACAAAGGGCAGGGCTTGAGAGTGCCAGTCCCCCCTGTAGACCATCAAAGCCACTGCTCACTCATACCTGCTAACATCCTGATTGTCAAAGCAGGGCAATGGTGGCCAAGCCCAGGGACCCCCCACAGAGATCAAGGGAAAGTGAGAGAAGGTTGCTGAAGGATATTTAAAGCTGGAGGACGAAAGCAGGTTGAGGGGAGGGGTTTCTCCCAGATGGCACCCACGTGGAGACATGCACATTCGAGTTCTCTGGGGTGGGGATCCAGCTTGTAGCTCCAGACCGTGTCCACTGTACCTGGGCTAGAGCTTTCCCCACAGGAGAAGCTCTGCAGAAGTTTGCTGAATGATTGAGAAGGAGGATAATATTCTACTTTCATAGCTTCTCATCAAAGACCTGCTTTAATTAGGACGTGACTTCCCTTGCCCGTGGTGGCACGGCCACCCAGACCCGTGGGCAACGTGAGTGGATATAGTACTTGGGGTCTATTCAGTATTCACCCGGCATCACATCTTTGCTGGAGCAATGAGCTGCATCCACACACGTGGTGGCAGACACAGACGTCTCACTGTTGGTGGCAGTTCAGCAAATCACTCTCCCCACACTTGGATCTGTGTGCATTGGGGAGGTCGTGTCTCCTGTTAATGAGGGCCTTCTCTGCAGCCTCAGCTGCTCCAAGTTCTGTCTAAATTCGGGTCTGTGCAGTGTTTTGAACTCCCATTGCCAGACCGGGGTGGGGGGGGGTGGGGGGGAGGGGAGCAGGACATGACAGAGTCTGTCCAGCGTGCTAAATCTCACTTCTTGGTGGATGTCAAGATTTGTGCTGGCCGGAGGGACTCTTCTGAGAAAACAGTGGAAGCCCAGGGCTGCTGGTGTAGTTATGAGTTAGGTGAAAGCTGGTAGAAAGGGCATGTGGCAGAGGACACTGTTGGGGCTGCAGGCCAGTTACACCAGCCCCCAAGTCTTCCTCCCCCACACCGAGGGGGATGCCCGGGCTGGATGCAGGACGTGTCTGCAGAATGCGTTAGGGCCAGCCATTTCCCCACGCAGACTGGCCATTCTTTTAGGGCCCTTAATGAGTTCTGCTAGATGGAAGCATCCTGGCTAGGCTGTAGGGCAGGGGGGGATGTGCATCCTGGGTCTGTCACGTACAGGAAGGCGTTGCAGGCGCGTCTCAGGTGCAAACTAGCTCACCTGCTTGGCAAACCTTCTGTGTCCTACACCACTATTCTCATTCCTACAGACGCAGAAATGGAGGCTGGGGAGTGGTGAACAACCTGCCCAGTAATTCCGATAGTGAGTGGGGAGAGCTGGGCGTTGAGCCCACAAACAGGACTTTCTCCCTGCGCAATGCTTTCATTTGTTTGTTACCCTCATTCTGTCACTCTCAGTAGAGTGCCGTGGTGTCATAGCTCACAGCAATCTCAAAATCCTGGGCTCAAACAATCCTCCTGCCTCAGCCTCCCAAGTAGCTGAGACTACAGGTGCCTACCACAGGTGCCCACCACAACACCCAGCTAGTTTTTCTATTTTTAGTAGAGACAGGGTCTCTCTCTCTCTTGCTCAGGCTGGTCTCTAACTCCTGAGCTCAAGGAATCCTCCTGCTCAGCCCCCCAGAGTGCTGGGATTATAGGTGTGAGTCACCATGCCCAGCCCCCGTTGCATAATATTTAAGACTTAAAAAAAATCCCCTGGCAACAAATACTGAGGGACTTGCTGTGAAAATCCATACCTTAACATCTCTGGAAAAATCTTCAATCTGCCCTGTAGATATCCTGGGCTCTCCTGTTGCTCCCCACTGGCTCCCAGCCAGGGGTTCAGGGCAGGTATCCATGGCCCGTGGCAGTCCTGCGTCCCTTGGCAACTTGTCCACTTGAATAGGGAAGCCAGACACAGGGGTCTAATGACAGAGTTCTGGCCATGGGAGACCACTGGGGAAAGGTTTAGGGGTGTCCACCTCCCTGGAGACCTGGGCAATAGCTGAGAGCAGCAGGAAGCCGCAGTGGGAGACTCCAGGAGATGGGCTCTGAGCTCAGACCCTGTGGCTGACTTGCTAGAAATGCTGGGAAAATGACTCAGCTCCTGGCCCTCCATCCCACAAAAGGGATTATTCATTCAACAAACATCTGTTGCATCAGACACTGTTTAAGCACATACACAGGTGAGCAAAATCCTGCTTCAGTTCCGGTTGAGGGAGACCAACAGCAAAACACAGCAGGTCAGACGGCATCTGTGGCTCAAAGGAGTAGGGCGCCGGCCCCATATGCCAGAGGTGGTAGGTTCAAACCCAGCCCCAGCCAAAAAAAAAAAAACACCACAGCAGGTCCAGGGTTAGAAAAAGCAAGAAAGGAAATTAAAACAAGCAAATGACCCTCAGATGGACGGCTGACCATCACCATTATTTCCTGCAAGAAAGAACTTTTTAACACTAAAAAGTAGAAAAGATGTAATTGTAGAATAAACATTCTGTGATTCTGCAATCTTTTTTGCATTTTAAAATGTATTATATGTTATGATACTGACCTCTGATGGTTTACTTATTAAATAACAGCTCCTAAAAAAATTTCTCAAGTTCATTAGAGAAGAAAACACAGCAATGTGTTAGCCATTAGCCTCTCAGGGTGGGAGAGAACTTGCATAGGCCTGCAAATCTTTCTCCTTGTCTTCCAGAATTAGGGTGTGTGCCCTTCAACCCAGCAATTCCGTGGTTAGTTCACAAGAAAGAGAATAATCCAGACAAGAATACAGAAAGTAGTAGAAACTTCATCACAGCTTTGTTTAAAACTGGGAAATAAAATGGAAGTAACCTAAATATCCTATATTAATGAATAACCTAATTCATTAATAATGAATTATTTTAACAATGGTGGCATAACTGCATGGAAAATGCACCACCATTTTTTAAAATTGTATTTTTTTCACTGACCAAATGAGCTCAGAGTGTTAAGTGACAAGAT